CTAAGCTTTCCACTTAGGGAAGGAAAGACTCAAAATAAGGAATTACTAAAGCCTCTCTTCAGTTAAGAAGGGGGACAGACTAAGTGTTTAACTGCTGTTCAGAGTCTGGAACTGGTATTTGAAAACAACAATGTTATTTTGATGGGTTATTACCCATCAAAAAGATTTTATTGTCTTTTGATTAATGTGGATTTAAGAAAATTATAATGTTTAATTGTTGATTTATTATTAAATATGGTACTGACCTGTTAATGCTTAATTGTGAATTTATTGTTAATTATGGTGATGACCTGATAATATTTATAACAGTATATAAGATGTTGAGAAAAGTTGGTATTGACCAATAATGCTGAGAAATATGGTACTGACCTGATGATATTTGTAATAGTTGGTGTTGACCAATAATGCTGAAAATTATGGTACTGACCTGATTATATTTGTAAATGCTTATAAGATTTTGAGGAAAGTTGGCATTGACCAATAATGCTAAAAATTGTGATGTTGATCTGATAATGTTTGTAACTGCTTATAAATGTTGAGAAGAGTTTGACACACCCTGTGAATGTTTGTGTTTAGTGCAACTGTTAAAATTTTAGATTCTGATGCAATGTAAAAGGTTTAAGTGGTGTTCTAAACTAGCTGAAGAAGCATTTTCAACTCAGGTGATTCTCTTCTATTTTAAATAAAAGACTTTAGCCTTTAGGAGCACAATTATTAATAAAGCATTATAATTTATCCTGACAAGAATGTATGGCTCTGAGACACAGAGTCCAAAGATATCTCTCTACCTTAATCTCTTTTCTTCACAGAGCTTAGCAGTCAATGATGGGTTTAAAGCTTCTTCTCCCCAGATGCCTAAGACAGGAGCTTGCATAAATGAAAGCCTGTTCCAGAGACATGAAAATTTGGGGAAAAGAAGTCTTTGCCCAAGCCAGGCATGATCTTCTGCCCTGTTGCAGAAGCACAGGTTTTATTAGGCAAGAAGATGTCTCTGTTATTTCCTGAGTTTTGGAAGTTGCTTACTATGCACTTTCTGTTTACTTAGGTAATATTATATCCTTCTGGAGTCTTTGATTGAGTTGAAGAATGAATAGTTATTATTATAGTTTTCCTTAGTTATGATCCAAGATAAAGTCGATATAAATAATTTAAGTGTAATTCTTGCTTGATAACTGTTTTGTTATATGTAATTTAACTATGTTAAAGTTAAAGCCTGCTTTTCCTTTATAAACAGAAAAGAGGAAATGGTGTAGGAGTTTCTTCTGTTTATGTGTTGCTTTCATTGATTAGTCAATAAAGAAACTGCTTGGCAGAACTTAGGTAAACAGAGTAAATAGAACTGAATTCTGGGAAAAAAACAGAGTCACAGAGAGCCTCCATAGAGATGTCAAGTCAGAATCCGGAGCTAATGGGCCAATGAGTTTAATAACTTATGGAGACCTCCGTGTGATTTTCTTTAGGATTTACAGGCTGTGGGAACTGAGAAGGACAGAAACCCCAACAAGCAGGCACTCAGGGTATACTCAAACAACAACATGGCCTCAAATGGGAGCCCAGACCAAGGAGGTCCACATTACCATGGACAATGACACAGACCCCTGCTACAGAAGGGTCATAAACTCCGCCATGGCCCTCTGTAGCAACACAGGCCCGAATAACACCATGGCCTCTGGAGGCAGTTCAGGCCTCTCACATCAGGTCGTTCCTTGCTGCCTTCATGTCTACAGTCCCACCTCTCTTCACAGAGAACAAACAGCTCCCACTTCTCTTTCTGTCTTATCTCTCCACCACATATTTGCTCACTATAGTGACGTCTGGCCTGTCTTTGTCCCAGGCCTCTCCTTTGTTTTAATTTTTTAATTTTTCATTTTTTTTTGCTTTCATTTCTTGAAAAAAAGGGTTTATTTCATCTCATATATTTCTGTCGATTACTGAGGAAAAGTAAGCCAGAGGTTAAAGGCAAGACTAGGAGGCAGATACCATGGAGGAACTCTGTTTACTAGGTTGTTCCTTATTGCTTGCTCAGCTTTTTTCTTTTCATTATGTCTTTTATTTTATGAGATTATAATATATTTGCATTACTTCTTGCTCCTCTTTCCCTCTAATGAAGATATACCTTGACAAAGTAATCAGTGAATGTCCAGAAGGCCGTTCATAAACTAGAACGATGCTGAAATGTAGTTCATGTGCCTTCTCATGAACTACTACTCTCTCTACTCTCTCTTCGTTTTCTTTCCCGTCTTTACAAACTTTCGACAAATGAATAAGAAGGATTTTATGGAAAGGAAAGCTATGGCTGTCACACAGGCCAGTAGGAATCCAATCACATCCAGAGAGTGGTACTGGTACCAGGTGAGGTTGTGTGCAAGTGGTCTCAGGTGCTTAGCCCCTTTATGGCGCATGATAAACTCAATCCAGAAGATAGCTCTGTCCAGGGGTTTCATGGGCTGGTCATGGTGAATGGTTGACAGCCACATTGCATTCTTTTTATAGCTGAAAGAAGTAAAATGGACATCAACTTACATAAAGAATGAGAAATGCACATGCATAATTTTTTGTGTATGTTTTATATTCATGACTAAAAAGACATTCAGAGGCATGTCTGAGCTCCATGAACATGCAAGATGAAGCATGTAGAGAGAAAATTGAAAAAAAAGATAAAATATTCCTGAAGTAGAGGTTGAAGACAGATAAGCCTTAAATACAAAATATATTGAAATGAGATATTATTTGAATATATAAAATTTCAATTACGCATAATCAATTATCAGTAAAGCTTGTGTGCAAAGTATATACTAGCATCAGGATGTATAAGACAAATTCCTCTTAAGTCTCCATGGTGGTGCATATCTGTGATAAGTTGATAAAGATTGAAATGAGGTTTTCATGGAACATCTGTCAATGGTTAGTGGTTATAATTGCAAATGATTCCTGGTTCTTATTAGTTAGCTCTAATAGCTACTTCTCATTTCTTTCTGCATTTCTCATTAATGTTATCAAATATTTGATAAAATTGATAGGAAGGGAAATTTTCCTCTTTGTCTCTGTACTGAGATTTCTTATTAATTTCTTTACTGTTATTGTAAAGTAGAATCCCAATAAATTCCTTCTATTACTTTTAAATTTATATGTGTGAGTAAAAACGTCTGTATGTGTTTTGTGAGAGCTGCTGTAGTTAGAGTTACAGATGTTTGTAACCACCTGATGTGAGTGTTGGGAACATAACTCTGGTCCTCTGCTAGGGTGGATATCCCTTATCCACAGAGTCATCTTTCAAGCCTAATTTTTGCTATAAGTGTTGATATTCATTTTTGTTATCATTGCAATTTTGAAAATAAGAGTTGTCAAAATTTCATACTCAAATAATGTGGGTGCATTTCATTCTAATGCTGAAATAATTGTTGAATATATAAAGGAGAAGGGTAATATAGAGATATAAGTCACCAACTCTAATGTCAGTTTGATGTAGCACAAATAGCAATTATAATAAAGATAATTTCCTATCTTTTATTTGTCCAGAAAAAATGCAAAATTTTGTATTTCTTCTTATTAAATAATCTTCGTTTTTTACTATTCATGTTTCACATCTTTAAAATTTAGATCACAATTTATCTGATGGGCAAATTGGGAGGGGCTGGCTCATAAGGGAAGGCAGAAGGAGGTTAATACAAAAAAATGGACAGAAAATATTAAAGTTTGTAAGGATGTCAGAAAAAGCCACAAAGAATTTTACTATTAACAATTTATCCAAATCCCCCATAACACATGCAATTCCATGTATAAATATACATATATAGTTTTAATGATCTTTGCTCATCTGGACTGATGGTGCTCGATCTAAGAGTCAAAGAGCACCTAATCTAAACCCCAACACCGGCAATGAGAAATCCTCTTTTTATGGGGTTGGCTGTGTCTCTCAAAGAGACTATCCAAACATATAGCCTATTTGTGTTCCTTATTCTCCAGAGGTAGAAGGTAAGTTTCTATTGCTGAATGAGCATTCAATTCAGAAGCAGAGCCCAGAGACCTCTGAGCTGGAACTGACTTGACAATCCTTACCCGAAAACTAAATTTTGTGATACAAAAACAGAAGAGAGGATTGAAGGATTTTAAAAGCCAGAGGAACAAGATAACTACTGTGAAGTTGCTTCTTTGCTAAGCTAAACTCATGAAGTCTCAACAATATGGATACCTAAGCAATATCTGAATAAGGATGACACTAGCCATGCTAACATGAAAAGAAATAGATCTCACTTTGGTCCTAACTCCACACAGAATTATTATTGGCATGAAGTAATGCTGAGAGTGGGAGAGAAATAGTCTTTTCCAGAAAGAGCTTTCAAATGGATTTTTATAATCAAAGAAAAATAAATGATGAGCATGTTAATTTGCTTCACTTTAATAGGTTTTCACTATGTAAATCTATTCTAAAATAAGTTGCATATTTAAATATATAACTGTACATTTACTTTCATGCTAATATCTGCTGTTTCAATGCAGAAAGTTACAACTCTCATTAAAGTTACCTACCTTTTTAAAAACATTCAGGTTTCTCTGTTGTAATATTTTCCTATGGCTTCTGGTGCAATACATCTGGCACCACCCCCAACATTTCATTTCACTTCACTCACTATCTATTTAAGTTTTATACTATCCTTCAATTTCTGACCAATTAGTTACCTAAAAGAATTGAAAATAAAAATTATCCAGAGCTGCAGGTGTATGCCTGTTGACCAAGAAGTTTGGAGGATGAAGTAGAAGGATTGCATGTTTAGGACCAGTCTGATTTACATAGGAAAGAAGCATAAGGCACAACATGGAAATAAAAAGTAATAAAAAGAAGGAAAAACCTATGACTCTAAATTTTACCCTAATTTGTCTCTGTCCCTTCCATTATTTTCGCCTTCAGGATAATTGTTGCTCCTTTGACCTTCAGTAAGAAGCACATTAAATGAAAAATAAATAACAATAAATACACAGTTTTAAAAGGTTATACTCACGAAGGATTATCTATGACGGCCTCCAGTGCATTGAGCAAATCTGTCCTTGACAGTGTTTTGAAATCTAAAGAAACAGCTGCTCCTTTGGCTACTATGTAGGCAATGTTATCATGTTGATCTCCAAACAAAGGAATGCCAATCATAGGGATTCCAAAATGGATTGCCTCATACATTCCATTGGCTCCACCATGGGTTATAAAGGCTTTGGTTTTTGGATGACCTAGAATAAGATGAACTCACATTGACATTAATTAGCAACCTTAGACATGAAATGAGAAATGTGTACTATCAGGAACTGAAAAAAAGATTTTCTACATGAAGATTTATTTTTAATTAATTAAATGTATTAGTTTAGTTTACATCACAACTTCTGTTTTCCCCCTCCTCATTCCAAGAAAACCTATGAGAAGATTCTTACACTCATAGCCTGTGTAAAATGTGTTCCTGTCTCAGAACAAGAAGAAAATAAATTTACAGAGAGATATTTTGCAGATTTGCTTTTGATTTGAGACTTAGACTATGAAATACTGATTCCCAGTTGAATACATGAGGTGCATTGTAGATAAGAAAAAATGAGTATTAAAAATGACCAGCTGCATACCAGAACTTGCTATCTTAAAATAGAATACATTCACTAAGTGTGATATAAAGGATTTTGAAGTCAGTCGGGATAGATTTGTTCTGAGAGTCTTACCTAGAAGGTCATTCTGGGGGAGCCATTTGTAGACTCTGGTATTGAGTCCTAAGGTGTTTGGTATTTTGCCATCAAATCTCCAAATAACCTGTTAAGGATTAAACAATCTTTGTTGCTGGAGCCAAATTTAGCATTACACAGACTAAGTAAGTTATATTTAGAAATACTGTAAATTCTTATGCATATATGTATGTAACTATATTAATAGAAATTACAAGATTGGGTTATTGAAAATGAAAGGACTAGGAAATGAGTTACAAGGGATTATGGAGTCAATATTCCCATGTGGACAAGGATATAAACATGACTTGGGTTTTTCATAGGAGTCAAAAATTTTATAAAATCTAGGGATCCTGTCTGGTCAGTTTCTAAAGAGAAGATATGGGCCCTTCACAAAGTCGTCAGAGAACAGTGTAGACTAGACCCATAGAAACTCTTTTTTTCCCTGGAATTATTCTGGTTTTATAATTAAAAAACAATATGGCAAATGGAGATGAATGAATGACTTATGAAATGTTATTGCCTCCATGTTATTACCTAGAGACAGTTATTGTTAAAGATTGTCCTTTAATAGTTTTGCATTTAAAAGATTGCTTTTATGTTATAAATATTCATCCTGATAATAAGGTACATTTTGACTTTTCTGTTCCTTAATTCATTCATAAAGAATCTCAGCTCTGTTATCAGTGGACTATATTATCATCAAGGCATGACAAAATCCCCTATTATGTGTCAATACTTTTCAGGAAAGTATCTGAATGAATATTGGAAAGGCATATAAAAAGAAAAAGAGCTCCCCATTCAATTTGGGGTCACTTAGGCATTGATTAGAACTATTAATAATATATTTAAGAAAGATAAGGAGGTTATTAATCATGAGGAAGAGATAGGTAATTCCTTGCATGAATACAAACTTGATGACAACTTACTAAAATTAGTAAAGGAGGCAAAAATATGAAAATTTCCAAATGAAGGCAAAATCAAATTAAATACAGTGCCACTGTCAACGATGCAGGTAATGGCTCCTCAGCTCACTTTTTGGAGTCTCCTTTAAAAATATTTCCTGTATTGTCTAAAGATGATCCTGAAGCATGGGGTAAAGAATGTGATAATCAATATAATTTAGCATTCTTTCTACTTTTTGAAGAAGATTTAAGAGAACCTGTAAAAAAGCTAACTATACAAACTAGACAATCTAGGGCATAGCAGGGAAAAGGAATTAATTTACCATTTCTGCCCTGGCATCATGAGTTGAGTTTAGTGTTTCCAGTGAAATTTTAACAAAATGAAAACCTTTATCAGGGATTAGTTATGGATAAAATGAAAGATTTTAAGAAGGCTTGAGCTTCCCATGGATCTAGTGCTTCATATAGCTATGAATCTTTTTGGTTAGAACAATAATGCTCAATGGTTGCTGTATGATTTTCATTCAGTTGCTAAAATAGTTCTTAGCCCTTTCATACTTCCTCAATTTCAAGTGTGAGTTGTAGATAAAGCCCATAAAATGTTAAAGAGCTAGGACTGAAGGGTAATCCTAAATGTCATATATGAAATGCTCACAGGGAGTGGTAGATGAATGTCAACAGATTATCAGCTGCATTATATGCTTTGGCAGCTCTCCCACACATTAGGGATGTGACAATAGATGTATTAAAACTGATGTGGAATTTTAATTCATGTATAGTTAGATTAAAAAAAATAGACAAAGTCCCTCTCAGCCTTATGCTGATTTTATAGAGAGACTCAAAGATGCTATTAAAAGTCAAGCAAAAGGGGAACAAATTTGAGAGATATTATTAAAACATTTAACTTTTGATGATGATGATGAAGATCACCAAGGATTAATCAAGCCTAAAAGAGAGATAGAACATGTTATGGATTTTCTTAAGTTTGATTAGAAATGTAGGGATCTACAAACAAAGCAAAATTAACTCTGGTATAGAAATCTGCGCTGTACAAAAATAAATGTTGGCAAAGTGGCCACTTGAATAAGCAATGTAAATTGCCCCTATAATTCAAAGTTGGGAATCAGTGAGTTCCAGGTTTATGCCCTATATGCAAGGAAGGAAAACACTGGGTTAAGAAATGTTGAACTAAATATGATAAGGATGGCAATACATTGCCTGGCAACATAACAATACCAGTCAACAATAGGGAAACAGGTTGAAGGGTCCTGTAAAGGCCCCACAATATTAGAGGCTTTGAATGCGAAATAACAACGTTGATGCCAGACTTCAGATTGTAATCAACCTAGTCTTTTGTTACAAGATGTTATTCAAAGAAGTGCTGCTATTGATAGACCTTGCCCTAAATTATTACTGTTTCCTCTCTTCAGTGTCCTTTTAAGCTGCACACAGAATATTGGGTATCTGAAAAAGTTGGACTTTTATTGGGTTGCAGTAGTTTATCCTTGAAGGCAATCATAGTTCACACAGGAGTTATAAACAACTTGGGAGGGCTTAGATTTGTTAGGTTCAAACCTAGGACAAATAGCTGAGTGCTTATTTAATATAATAAAAAGCCCTGTGGGGCAAAAAACATTTTTCCCCAAAGGTACACAGAGGACAGTTTAAACATTAACTGGATAACAGCAGCAAACAGTAGTGGTTACCCTGAAATAGACCGACTTCTATTAACTAAATTTGGAAGAAAGGCAAAAACACATTCAAAAAGAAAATAGGATATAAAGATGAATTTAAAACAGTTTTCTATCCTTCCATAGTAATGTATAAATAAGATTCGAAGATCCATACATTTATGTAAGTCTCTTTAAAACTGATTGCTTGTTAGGAGTAATAAAGCACAACAAGAATAAAATCCATAAAATTAATGACATTGGGTCCTCTCTGATTAAATTTAAATGTTTATGAAATTAATGTAGGTGATTGAAGAGGTGTTCCACTACAAAACTTAAAATTGTTCATAAATAATCGAATTTAATATGTAGAAAAATTACTTTGTAGTATGCTTTATGAAGTGAGTCATCAGACACTATTTTTTTCCTTTGGTTCCTTTGGATCCTTTCTTATTTTTCTATTTCCTCTATGAATGGTAGGACTTTCACTCTGACTTGTTACAAGGCAGAGTTGTGAATTTCATCTTTTATGATACAGAGATCCCTGTGAGGGAAACACCCATCTCTACCTTTCCCTTACATGTTTCTTCTGCAAATTTTGGCAGGCCAGTCCAGAGCATATGATTTTTTCCTTTAAAAGCTTTTTCACTCAATTAGCCAAAGGTGTACCTTGACTGAGAATTAGTGAGCCTCAGACTCCCTTCCTTTAAACGACCCTCTCAACTGCACTCTGAACAGGTCTATTCCAAAATTACAATGCAGGGTCTTGGTACATTTCAAACCTTTTCAACACCTGCTTACTGTTATTCTGATAGAAAAACTAAATAGAGATTAACTCCCACTCTGAAGAACTTGGCTGTGTCTACACATTCTTGACAGCAACGTCATCATAATGCCAGCATTTTAGAGTCTACCCATAGTGACCACAGTGTTTATATTCAAGTCCCTCTCAGTGAAGAACACCTTCTGCAGTATCTAAACATCTGTTGTGAATATCTGTTTCTAAAATCTGTTTAAATAAGGGAAATTATAGCTTCCTTAAAACTCTACCTTTCACACAACTATTTCTATAAGCAGACCTTTCAAGGACGTTCACAGACTTAGTATAGAGTCACCTCCCATGGAATGCTTTCCCTCACCTTTTGTGGAATCTGGGCAAGGGCCCATGCGATTGCATTGGCTTTTTCTTCTGACATGTTGCTGACCATTGACCCCAGAGAAAACACCACGACACCATGCTCTCCAGAGCTCTGGACAAAATCTTCCATTTCCTGTGAAGAGAATTTGCTTCAGAACAAAATCAGTTGTAGAAAAATCACATATGAAAATTTTATAAAAAACTCTATGAAGATAAAAATAGTAGTATTCCTAGGAATATTTATAATAGTGGGGTTAAAACACACAGAAGACAAAACCGTTAATGTCAAAGACATTGAACTTAGCAGGCATCTATACAAACTATACTCACACTTTGTCCAACAAACATTCTAAATATTTTCCTCTGGCAAAATTAAAACCTCAGAGTGAAAGCATATTCTATGAAGTATATATAAAATTGTTGCTTAATTTACATGCTTTTATCTTATAAAAAGGGTGATATCTTTTTCTTTAGCTATTTTAATTTTCTCCTATAATGGTTGATATAATATTATTAACTAGTGTTTGATGAAATATTATTTATGTTGCAGAATGTACATATATCATAGTTAACACAAACTTCCTACTATGATTAATTAAATATTTTTGTTCATTGTGAAATAATCATAACTACATGATAAACATATGCCAGATAAATTTTCTGGTACTGAGTATGAATAGGACATTTTCAGAGCTGACATCTACTATTTAATGGTTGGAGAGAAACTACGTCTATGCTGTTTGTCCAGATATCAAACAATTACTCGAATAATTATTCATCATAGCTTTTTTGGTGATGAGAAATCATATGATTGATGAGTTTAACTGACTAAATTTCTCTGTCTTTTCTGCACATGTTTATATATGTGTGTGAACATAAGTGTGTGCTTGTTTGTGTGCTTATGTGTGTGTGCACATGTGTGTGTGTAAGTGTGTGTGTGTATGTGTGTGTTTATTTGAAGTTCCCTGCCTTTGTTTAGCACATAGATGCCAAAAGTTAAAGTCTGATGTCTTCCTCTATCAGTCTTTAACATAGTTTTTGAGATTGTCTCACATTGAACACAAATCCCAGCATTTTTAATGAATTAGTGGCCAGCAAGCTCCCAGTATCAATCTGCTTCTGCTATTGAAGCAGAAGCTTCACCTCCGTGCTAATAGTACTGTGCTGGGACACTAAACTTTTTACCTGGGTGTTGGGATTCAAAGTTACCCAATGGTTAACAACTCAAGTACCCTGGCTGACTTAATTTAATTCACTGATGTGAATGTGTTCCCAATCTATGACATTCTTTCCTGAGTTTATCAAACTCCTACTTAGCAGGGTGCTTAAGTTCACACACACACACACACACACACACACACACACATATACATATATATATATATATAGATAGATATAGATATAGATATAGATATATGAAAAGTCTAATGAAAGCTGTAAAGTCACTTCCACCAGAAAGGACATCAAATAAAAAAGAAATCTAAAGAATGTATTTACCTTCGGCAAGGGTTTGGCAGGTTTGCAGTGGAGACCTCCAACATAGTCAGCATTTGGTAAGGTTGGGCGAGGAAACTCCAAATCCCAGTAGGATCTAATGAGCCACATTTCTGCTTTGCCTATTGTCTCAGTTAAGGTAGTGGGCCTACCTAGAAGGAGGAAATGAATAATTGAGAAACAGAAAAGTTGGCAGGATTTTCAATTGAATAAAAAACACATATTCTTAAAATAATGAAAGATATATATTTGATGTAGTACATATGTATTTTAAAACCAATGTTTATTCATATGTAACATAATTCACATGTGTAATTGATATGTGGCTCACATAATATGCACAAATGTCAGCTTGGGTTTATTTTAAAAGGAACCATAAGAATTGCATCATGTTTCCACAGTGATTTGAAATAATAGGTATTGAAATAATCCACTAAGCCACCATATGAATGAGCACACATTTTACTCCTCTCTTCATCTTTAAAAGGAACAATGCAAACATAAACACATATTCCAGGTCCAAAAGTCACATCATGCCATGTACCATGGCAAAACTTCCCCAGGGTTCCTGTAGTGTGTATCTAGTCCTTCAACCTTGTTTTGCTTAAGGAGCTGTAAAGTTTATGAATGGCTGAATTTCTGGTTAGTACTTCGACCTTTGTTTCATATTAAGACTTTTAATAGTACTTATCCTAAGAAACCAAACATAATATTTTCAGAAATTGTAAGAATAGAAATTTTGGACAACTTAACTATGGCACATTTTGAGAGCAAGAGAGAGGAAAAAATGACTTCAAAAGAATACAGACTGGGTACATGAGTATCCATGCTTCTATAGTGCTTAAACAATGAATGTTAGAAAAGTACACAGTAAAGGAATATCATATTGGTAGAAACTTCAGTTCCATTTTTAAGCCTGTGAAGTTGCATAGTATCTTTAAAGAGTAAGGAAATTTTTTAGGAAATACAGAGAAAATTTCTTATAATTTATATTTTTATATATGTGTATGTGTGTCTGTTTATGCTGTTTATTCAGGTGCCTATAGATACCATAAAAGGTCAGCAGGTCCCCTGAAACTAAAGTTAAAGGCAATTTTGAGTCACTGGACCTGGATGGGTACTAGGAACAAAACTCAGGTGCTCAAAATGAACAGAGAGCACTCTAAACATTGTGTTCATGTTTTCAGACCCATATTCTTAATTTTAAGTTAAGACAGTTGCCTATGCAAGAAAAAACAATTTCTTCAATGTTATATACATAGTGAAACTGTAAAATATTTCATTCTTTAATCTACATTAATCATAAATTATTTAACTAGCAAGTGACTTATTAAAATGTATTAATAATTACGGCAGAATGAATAATGGATAACTTAGGGAAAGTCTACTTGCATCTCTTTCCAGGTGTACTACTATTCAGAATGTTATGTATCAGGACTGATACCAGCTTCTCTTTGATCAATAATATAAGCTTTATGGTGAGTTCGGTAGCTAATATCATATTACAGTTGATCACCTATAAACAGCAAGTTTTCTTTGCATTTCATGCACATAACTATAGATTTAAACACTTGTGAAGTTTAGGTCACTGAGCTACTGATAAGACACATAACTTACCCAATGTTTCACTGTAAAACTGACTCCATTTCTTCTCATTAAATGTCTGGAACCAAAAGTCAAAATAAAACATACATATCATATTTTTTACCCTCTCCATGAATGTCATTTGACCACCTAGTCCTGACAAAATTATAGGTACATAAGAGGGAGGGAAAAGAAATCTTCCACTGTACTTTTCCATTGTATAGCCAGTAGAGAAGCGAAGACTGTACAAAAAAGGAATCTGGAGAAGTTCAGCTATCAGCTCCCCACAGGGAGCAATGGCATCTGAGACAAGGATATCAAACTTGGATCTCTGTAGTTTTGTCATAAGTTGTTTATTTGAAACTGTGTCTTTGCAAAGCCTTAGATAGCTATTAGAATATTCCTCAAACATGTTTTGTAGCATAGAAGAGAGTGATAAACACATATATCTTGGTGTCTTATAAGTCCATACATCCACAAGTGTTGTGAGAACCTTGTCCAGATCATCTTTACTGATAGATACAGGAAAACTCTCAAACTTCAGGCCAGGTGATTTTCTGGGATCAAGAAAGATGGAAGCTGAAGGTCTCAGAACTGTCACTTCATGACCCCTCTGTACAAGTTCATCCAGTATTGTCTTTAGATTCATCCAGTGACTGTATTCCATTGGCCATACCAATATCTTCCCACAGTTCCCAGATTTGAAGTAGCAACTCATCTGCAGGAGCAGCAGAACAGACATCCACTTCACAGTCATCCTGGGAAATCAAAGACCTCTGTTCACACTGTGTTTCCCTCTGTTATTGCTTAACCATAAATCTAAGAAGAAAAAGCCTTGAGTTGAAATATAACCTGTGTTGATAAGAGCAAACATACTAAATGACCACATTGAACTTCTGAGCTGAATGGAGACAGTAAAAGCAAATACTAATTCGTCATATTTGCATGTCAGTGTTTAATGTTTTTGTAATGAAGCAAATTCAGGAGTCAATGACCAAAAATTACAAAATGTTACATAACTCTTCTATTTCAAAGATATTTGAATAATAGCAAGAACTTTGATTACCAAGAGGTTAGTCTGAAATTTCTTCTCAACAGAGAACCCAAGATATAGTAATAGCACAGCTTATAAATATTTTCTTGATATCATTTTAAAAATTTTTTATAAGAATGCTGATTAACATATTCACCTACATAAAATTTCTAAAATATTGTGGCAGTGCAACTAAATAATTCTACTGAGAGAAGCTTGGGATGCAGATAGGCATGCTGTAGGAATTCCTCTGGCCAGTAGCCTTTAAGTTACTCACCCACATGGTCGTGGCCTCTTATACTTATGTCAATGTAAAGCATGCATCTGGCCTCTTTTCTGGCTGCAGGATTCGGTTGCTTTCCCTGTTTCAACAGAGGATTGTGCTCCATAATTCATGTGGCTCCGACACAAATATCTATTTTTTCTAACTGGTCTGGTACGGAGGCGCAAGGAATAACCAGACATAGCTTACATCATTATTACGGAAGAGGGCATCTCAGGCTTCTTCCTTCTGAAGCTCTCTCCTGAAGATCTTCCCTGAGGATCCCTCGTGATTATTTTCCAAACATCTTTTATAGCAATACATAAACTGGGCAGGAAAATGCATCATCATTCTGTCACCTAGGCAACCAGGTGAATGGCCTTTTGTCATGTCTGCATCTACCTTTCTGCTGAGTATGCTAGCTGTCAGGTAGGCTTGAATTAGCATCTCTATAAGGCATCCTCTAAATTACAAAGAAAGGGAGCAGCCAACATCCTGACCTTTGTCAAGCAGAGACACATTGTCTGCAGGGCTACATGATCATTTCTGATCTGCCCAATGGCTTCAGAGCCTGGCTGCTACACCATAAAGATATATGGGCCTACAGTGACTCTGCCCCTAATTAAATAACCATCTGTTATACTCAATTCTGAGTTAGTGTCGGATTTCTTTTAAGCACCCTTCTTTATCTAATGCCCCATGTAGATTTGGACTCCACACCTACCAGGTGGACAGCCTAAAGGCCTAACTAGTTCACAGCCCAGAAAGTCTCCCAACCCTGCCTGCTTGGCTTTCTTTTACCTAAGCAGTTTTTTGTAAAACACCACAGCAGAGCTAACTGGATGTGGTGATGTGGAAATTTCCAAGCTTGCAAACATCCCCTCGCCCACTGCTGCATTCCTAGCCATGTGTTGACTTGTGCACTTTCCAGTTTGTGCCTGTGAGTTCTGGGCTTCTTTATTTTTTTAATTATATTTTTTTTTTTGGTTTATTATATCGGGCTTTTAACTAACTAGCTTTTACAGCAAAATTTAACCCAGAATTCCTGTAATTATTTAGACACATAGTTTGTATTGTTCTTTTTAAAAATAATATGATGTTGGGATGGCCCAGGCAGCCTGCAAGCCAGGCAGAAGCTGCCGCCAGAGCAGTACAGGGTCCCCTGGTGAGCGGCAGAGTCAGGCAGCTGGATGCGGTGGACGACAGAGTAAATGGACATAAGGCTATACATAAAGCTAGATATTTATTACTTAAAGAAAGGGAGACATAGACAAACATAGAGAGAACAAAGACACACGTACACACGACATGAAACAGACACACACACACACACACACACACACACACACACACACGAGAGAGAAGATGACGGCGGGGGGAGGTCAGAAGTGGCTGGGGTGGGTGTGGTTAGTTCTTAAAGTGTCCCAAAGGAATAACATTCCCAGATCCTTTTTATAATAAAAAGTAGAAGGTTAGACATTACAGTTTGAAGGAATTGGGGCGACGAATTCTCAAGGCTGCTTCCGGCTGATTTGTGGGCGTCATCTTTGGGGCGTGTGAAGGATCCGAGAGAAGGCTGGGAGCTGGTCACATCTTGGCATAGTTGGTCTCTGCTCCCGACAGGACAGGTGTCTGTGGCATGGAAATGTCTAGTGTCCTTTGTACCTGGTTAGGGTGTTGGCAGAACTGAGGGCAAAGTTAAATTGAGAAAAAATTTTTAGGACCAGGGAATTGAGGGGTTTGTATCTGACCTGTTTATGATGGGTTTTTTAATTTGGCTCCCTGGAACTTATAAGAAAAATAGAAGTTTTAGACATATATATTGTATTAAGAACTCCTTGGGTTTGTAAAAACAGAAATTATAATGAAAAGTATTTTTATTTGGTGAGACAACCTGGCAAAACCTCCTAGCTATCAGACTGTCAGAGATCTTTGAGAAGGATAAGATTTTACTTGAGTTACTGATTAAAAAATGACAGAGAACTTACTTGGTTGGCACCCAGAGCTACTCTTTGGTCCTCCCTGGTCGCTGAAGGTTGCATTTGACCTTTGTTGTTTAATGTAGAGCCTGCCAGGCTTTTGAAGACCCTGTGGACTAAGAAATCTTTAGGAAGACAGGCCTGCCTTGACCCTGGGCAGCTATACTGTCGATTCCAGTGATTTTGTCCACGTTTGGAGGTCTCCAGTTTAGGTGATAGGCAGTTTTTTGCCCAATGGTCAGCGCTTGGCAGTCGAAGCAAACTGCAGATGGACGTTGGTCTTCTGTCTTCTCGGAGGAAACAGAGTGCTTGCTAGGAGCCAACCTGTCTCTTTTTGTTATGAAAAGTTTTTTAAATAATTAAACATTTAAATATCGCATTTCTCAGATCTCTGAGCAGTTGAGGGCTGATTATTAGGTATAGCTGCAGTATAGAATCTGTCTGGAAGGTTGGGTGTGAGTTTGTATTGACTCTTAATAGATAAGATCCACATTTGTAAAAAAACAGACAGAAAGAAAAAAAACTGTTTGTAACATTAAGATTAGTGGCAGAACTGACAATGGTAGAAAACAGCTTAAAAGTACATACCAGTTTAAAATATGAGAATTATGATTTTGTAGCCTGAAACGAGATGAAGTGAACAATTATTTTACATAGAAAGATTGAACAGGAATTAGGCAAAGTGTATGTTTCTGATGGACCCTATCAGAAAGCACATCACTATTCAAAACACCTGTAATCAGAGTTAATGAGAACACCAAGGAGGGGGAGAGGAAAGACAGTACATTCATAGGAATGAGAGAGCTTGGTCGCGTGATCTGGCACTCACTGAATCTAGCGATAAAGTCACCTGACCCCAATGAACAAGGTGGCGGCCACGTGTTGTGGCCTGAATGGAAAGCCACGGGAAAGGTAAAGCTGGAACCCTGGCCCTTGGCAGGTGAATCTCTTGAGTCCCGGCACCAAATATTGTTCTTTTTAAAAATAATATGATGTTGGGATGGCCCGGGCGGCCTACAAGTCAGACAGAAGCTTCCGCCAGAGCAGTACAGGGTCCCCTGGTGAGTGGCAGAGTCAGGCGGCTGGATGCGGTGGATGGCAGAGTAAATGGAAATAAGGCTATACATAAAGCTAGACATTTAATACTTAAAGAAAGGGAGACATAGACAAACATAGAGAGAACAAAGACACACGTACACACGACACGAAACAAACATGCACTCACACGCACACACACACACACACACACACACGAGAGAGAAGAAGGCAGCGGGGGGGGGGGGGGGGGGGGG